ATTTCCTCCTTACTTCTCTTCCTTTCCCTCATTCCATCTCTTTCTTATTCTCTTTTCTCTCCCTCTTTTCTCACTGCCCCCTCTTCTCTTTCCCTGCCCACCTCTTCCTCTCTCCAACCTCTTTCCCTCCATCCTCCCATCCTCCCTGCATGAGCACTGCTCCCACTTCTGCATGGACACAGGCCTGATGCTTCTGGCCTTGGCCTTGCCTGCTAGCAATGAACTCTGGAGTAACTAGACTCACTTTTGGGGCTCCCCATGGAGACACAGGGCTTTGCAATGAGGGTGCCCCTTGCCCTCAGTGAGGGCTTGGTTCAGCCTAGCACTCTGGCCATCCTGGCCAGACCCCCCAAGGGACCAGGCTGCACTGTGCATAGGGCGCCGGGTACAGGCCAAGAGTGATGCCTCAGCATCTACTGCTCCGTCCACTCTTGAGTAGGGCATGGCCTGGGTAGAGTACCTCTGCTGACCTCCTCCTGAATCTCTGATCCTAGGACCCATGGCCAAGAGTCAGAGCCCCAGGTTGTTGTCCTGGCTCTGCCTGTGACCACCTCTGTGACCTTGGCAAATCTCTGAATTACTCAAACCTCATTTTCCTAATCTGAAAAATGGAGGGATGACAAGCCCTAAAGCCCTGCCTTTGGCATAGTGGCTGTGACACACCCCAGACACAGTGGACCCTCATCAGGGATTAAGTGACCTTATATGGGGATGATGTAGACCACTGACCTCGACCCCCTACTGTATTGGACATACAGGCCCATAAGCCTTTACTACTGAAAGGACGTCATCTGATCCTGTCTTCTGCTCCTCTAAGCCTGGAGGCCAAGGTCAGGGAGAAAATGGCGGTCTTAGGCTGCCCCATGCCATGACATTGAGCAGTTCTAGGAAAAGACTTAGAGGGTGGTGGGAACTATTGGCTCCCAATGACAATGTCTAGGATTTTCACTGATTCCTTTCCCTAGTCCATGGATAATTGGGAGATGGCTCTAGCAGACCGCCCCCCACCGCTTCTCCACTCCCTCTACTTTCTTGGCCCACTGGTGGGGAGTGCAGTGTTCAGCAGGGCCTGGGGTTTGGGGCAGGCTCTGGGGTGGTGGCCCTGTCCTGAGGGGAGCTGGCATGGCTTGCCCTGGAGCTACTAGTGTAGTTGCCGTGTGGCTTTCTGGTGCCCTGGCCCAGCAGGTGGCCTCCCGGACCCCCTCACTTCTGGAGCCCCAGGCATGCAGCTGAACACCCAGCCCCTTCGTCTGGAGCTGAGGAACCCAGTCTTTTGGAAATCGGAAGACTGGAAAGAGAAAGAAGAGCTGGGTCTGCGGGGTGGAGGTGGCCCATCTAGGAGGGTGGCGTAGAGGAGGCATGTGACAAGGCCTGACCCCAGTGTAGGGAATCCAGGGGTGGTGGGTGGCCATGTGTTGTCAAAATGTAGATATTAATTTGTGTTAAGACTACAGCTCCCAGAGCTGCAGCTGTGTGTGTGTGTGCGCGCGCGCGCGCACGCGTGCGCGTGCACTCGTGCAAAGAAAGGCATTCACTGTCTCCAGCCCACTTTCAGGTAGCCTTGGAGTAAGCTGGTCCCTGAGCACAGCACCATCCTAGGGGGCAGCGTCAGGACTCCCTGGGAAAGGGGTCTGCTCTGGTGCCCTGTTCATTGGATCTGGGGGCCTGTATGGTGTCTCTTCGGATGAGGTACCTGCACATCCCCAGAGGGTATGTGAAGCAGCCCTTAGAGAACCACAAGGGGCTCCTGAAGTGTGGGGTGTTGTTATTCTAAAGACCATAAGGGCTTCCCACTCCTCAGTCTGGGTAGAACGCTGGACTCACCAGCCTGCTGGCAAGACCTTCCAGAGTCTCCTGGGCCAGCTTTCTTTTCTCCTTTCTTCATTCGCTTCCTCAGACCACATGAGCTGGTCTCCTGCTGGGTTAGGGCTGGCTGACTGCAGATGTCCTAGGGGTGACTCAGTGACTTCACTCACGCCCAACATTCCAGTGAGCTACTGCCATTCCTGTTGGGTTAAGGATGTGCGTGTGCCTGTACCTATGCATGTGTGCTTGTGAGTGTGTGTGCATGCCTGTGGGCACCTATGTGCGTGTAAGGAGGGAGCACATAGAGACAGAGGTCCTGAGAGAGAGCACAGGGCCAAGGGACTGAGAAAGTCCTGGAGTTGAGGGTGGAGGATGGTATGGAGGGTGGTGGGGGGAGCCAGCCTATTTTTATTATCAGTCAGTCTCTGAGACGTGAGAGAGGGGTGTTCTCTCTCTGACACTGGCTGTCAGCTTGTGTCCAGACTTTCCAGCTTGGCTGAGGAACAATGGGGCTCTCTTTTCTCCCCTCCACCATGCCCCGTCTCCCCTCCCATCATGAAAGAGAGAGGGAACATGGCTCTCCAGGCACTTCAGGGCAGATCTGGGCTTGCCAAGGGGGACAACAGTGAGACACTGTGTCCGAAGACTGAGATGCCCATGGCTGGCCACGGGTGTGGTGGGGTGCTCTGTGGTGAAGGGGCTGGCCCTGTGGGAGTGGAATGTGGGGGCTTCCCCATTCTGCAGAGGAAGGCTCTGCCCTGCAGCAGTTTCACTTTTTGGAGGTCATTCTGTCCATCCCCCTGCCTCTGGTCAGAACACACCTCCCAAGTGCCAGGCAGATGGTGTTGGAGAAGGGGAATTGAGAAGGTGTGATTCTCAGATGTCCCAATGGCCTCTTTTCTGGGTCTCATGCCCTCCGCATTTGGGGAGCCCTTCTGCAGGCCAGCCTCATCCCCCGTGCTGCAGCTACCACCGTGGCACATAAACATGTAGAGCGTCCTGGTCGGAGCAGGAGAAGGTTCTCTGTCCGTCTGGGAGAGTCAGTGCCTCAAATCGAGACAAACTCATTTTTCAAAGACTAACACCAAACCTCCAAAGAGGGAAGCTGGCCACCTTTTGAAAAGGCCAAGGAATCTGCCAGAAAGAGGCTACTGGGAGGTGGGTGAGCCGGAAGCTGAGACCAGCCCTAATGCATTTCTTTTAACCTTGGAGCTTCACTCCGTTCCAAACCCCAAGAGCCTTTCCCAAATGAGCCTTCTTTGTCACAATTATTATTAGAAAATCAATGGCTGTGTCTGTTTCCCTCTAATGTTTTTTGCCAGGAATGAAACCAGCGGCAGCTCTGACCGAGCTTCTCTGGAGGCCTGTGTGGGGAAGGGGTGGGGGTGGGAGAAGTATGGCCAAAGGCCCAAGGGCAGGGTCTCTGCACTGCGAGCCCGGGAAGCCTGGATTGGACAATTCCAGTTTGCTGCTCAACCCTGTCAAAGCGGTGTTCCATCTTTCATCTGGTTAAGGCTCTTAACAGCCCTTGGTTAGGACTAATACAGCCTCTGTTTTCCCATTCTGAAGATAAGGGCACATCAGTGCTTCTGTGCTTTGAGAAAAATAGTTTGTGGGCAGTAGAGTGAGGGCAGAGTCCAGCTCCTGCTGCCATTGGGCTCCTTCTTGGTGGAGATGTCAGGGCTGCCTCTGAATAGTAAAGGGCCCAAAGTGAGGCTCAAAACCCTACCTCGGCACCTCCTGCCCTTAATGTCCAGATGCCGTGCCCATCCTGCTCGTCCCTAATTATGGATGAGTGTGAGTGTGTGTCTTAGAATGACTGTGTGTGTGTGTGTCTCCGTGTCCATCCCAGCACTTGGGAGCTGGCAGCCTGTTGTTCATGACAAGTTGGAAGAAGCTTCTCAGCCTGTGCTTTTCACAGCATAATTTGTGGCTGTGCCAGGGGATGCCAGGGGAGCTGAGGGCTGCCTGGGGGCATGAAGACCCCACCGTGGATGGTAGAAGGTGATTCTATCTGAATGCGGGTGATTTCTGCTTGGCTTCACTGGCACAGTCCTGGGGGCCAGCAGTGAGTGTGTGTGTGTGCACGCTCGCACGTGCCATAGGGCAGTGATCTCAAATGTGCTGGCATGAGGCTGCTGCGGCCAGGACCTCTGTCCCACATGACCTGGGACCTTTGGTAAGTCCCAGCACCTCACCGGGCAGCTGTCTTTCCTTCCCTGCCTGGTGGTGGTGAAGGCAGGGCCAAGAATCTCCTCCCAGAAGGTAATCACGATCAGGAGTCCACCCTTCCTTCCCACTGGCCCAGGGTGAGGTCTTGGCCTCTGGGACCTTGGAAGTAAGTTTTCTATGATTCTGGGAGCCAGCTTGATGAGGCAATGGATTCTATGCCTCAGCCCAGCTGTTGGCAGAGGGAGTGGGAAGGAAGGCGGGTGAGGTTAACAACATCCCCAGGCCTGTGGAGTAGGAAGGGAAGTGCAGAAAAGCAGATGGCGCACATGACTTCAGGGCTCTCTTTGCCTGCTGTCCTGCTGGGAAAGGCAGGGCGGGAGCCTCTGCCATCTTTGGGGCAAGAAAAGGGGGTGGGTAGCTAAGGGACCAATATAAGGGAGGTTGGGAGAGGTTTCAAAGGAGCACTGGATGAAGGCTGGGGCACCCTAGAGAGGGCCAGCAATCCTAGGGGCCTGATGGGGCTTGGGACTCCATAATAAGAATTAATTCTTCCTTTGTTTCTTTTTGGGAGCACCACTTACAAGATGATGCATTCTTAGCTCTTTTAAATAGTTCTTCCCTATGGGCTTGATGTTGCTTGTTGGTTGATGCAGTTGCCTTGGAGACTGTCTCTCCCTCCCTCCTCCTTCCCTCCCTTGCTTGGAAGCTCTGGCCCTCTGCCTCCAGGGGTTGGACAGAGTTGACATCTGTTTCTTGTATCAGTCCTTTGTGCTTTTGGCCCCAAAGCAGTGTGGAGTGGAGATTCCTGGTGGAGGCTTAGCCCCGTCTAGGCAGATCCTCCACCCTGCAGAGAAAGCCTGGGTGTGGGCCAAGTTGGAAGGCTGGGGAGGTGCTGAGGGGAGACAGGCCCACTCCAGCTTGCCCCTGAGCTAAGATGACTGCCTTCTCTGGTTGGGTTAGGCCCCACTGTTCATTTCTTACACAATATGTTCATAGCCCTCTACCCCTGCCATTCCTCCCAGGGGTGCAGGCTCGGGAGAAGCAGCCTGCAGAGCCCCCAGCACCTCTCCGGAGGCGGGCGGCCAGCGATGGACAGTATGAGAACCAGTCTCCAGAACCCACATCCCCCCGGAGCCCTGGAGTCCGATCCCCTGTCCAGTGTGTCTCCCCAGAGCTGGCTCTTACCATTGCTCTCAATCCTGGAGGGCGTCCCAAAGAGGTGAGTCCTTGGCTTCTTCTTGGGCCACAGAGGGGAGTGGAGCATACCTTAGCACTCCCGGGACCTGAAGGTCAACTTGGAGGGGCTGACCTATCAGTAAACCTGTAGCAGTATTTGTCCTCCCTGCATCCTCACCCACAATCCTCTTCTCTGGCGTGTGGAATCTGGACCCTGTTCCCCTCACGCCACACACAAAGAGCTTTTATGCCTCCAATTTCTGACACTTCTTACGTTAGCACTGAGATTGAAGTTCCCTTCTTGACTCTTAAAGAGAGTCCCTTAGTAGGGTGGTTAAAGATACACGGTATGACATGTTGTTGTGTGCTGTTGAGCTAATTCTGACTCATAGCGACCCTATATGACAGAGTAAAACTGCCCCATAGGGTTTCCAAGGCTGTTATCTTTATGAGGGCAGACTGCCAAGTCTTTTTTCCTGTGGAGCCACTCATGGGTTCGAACTGCCGACCTTTTGGTTAGCAGTTAAGCATTGCGAAACCAGGCTCCTTGAGTATGAAATAGGGGACCATGATCTCTAAACTCCAAACCAGATCATATAGAGTTTCCCTGGGAGGTATAACTTGGATGCCAACATGTTTGAGGCATTTCAGTAGTTGGAGGCAGTAGATCTCAAACTTTAGTTGGCAATTACCCAGGGAGTTTGTTAAAAAAGTAGATTTCCAAGTCCCTTCCAGAGATTCCAATGTAGGAAATCTGAGATGGGCCCAGAAATCTGTTTTTAACATGCACCCTGAATGAGTTTGATGCTGGTGGCCCATGGACCACTTTTGGAGGTATCATCTAACTGTCTTATAAAATCCAGGCTAAAGAGCCATTCTAGAAACAGCTTTTGGACATCTTTTTTCTCCTGCCTTCTGACAAGACCATAGTCCCCCACCCCTAACCCTTCTCTTTAGCTGCTGCCTTGTTTTGAAATATTTCCAAGGTAGATGCTCCTGAATTCCACCCACTCTTAACAATGGCCTTGAAAACAGCCACCTTCTCACTCTCTCAAGTATAAGGAGTTGTTGAGGCTGTGAATGGCCCAGATCTCACTTAATCCCCATTTACCTGAGGAGCTATGGGTAGTCAGGCTGGCCAGGTGATTGTAGACCAGTTTCCTCACTGTCCTTGTTTCCCAGGCCATCTGAAGGGGAAATCCAACCTCCTCGGTGCATGGCCACCAGTGGATCCCCCATTTTTCCTACCCTTTGTTCTTCCCTGACAGCCCCATCTGCACAGCTACAAGGAGGCCTTTGAGGAGATGGAGACAACCTCCCCGGCCAGCCCCCCGCCCAGTGGTGGTAAGAACTCCCTGCTAAACCTGTCTCCCTGTGCCATCACCAACCCCTGACCCTAGCCTTGGCCTGTGTAAGTGCGCAGGTCTCGGGGGTGGAGGACGTGTGCTAGCAAATTTGAGCACGGGTTGTAATTTGCCCCTTCCTATCCCCAGGACTCATTTCACCTGCCTCCTCCCCTCATTTGTCCTCTTCCATGGCTCCAAGCCACTGTTTTTTCCTTTGTCCATGACCATGCATCTAAGGATGCAGCAGCCCAGTCTTAGGATCCAGACTGACTGACTGTGGGGTCCCTGAGCTCCCATATCATGGGAGTTTCCTAGTAGTTGAGTCTTTTTGCCGCCTACACGCAGATAAAAATGAGGATTTTCTCTTCCCCATCCTAAAGTGACTCTTCCTAACTTGCTGGTATTTAACCTTCTTGTTTCTGACCCCATTTCTGTCTTCACTGGGGTACCTCTTCCATTTCAGGGAACCATTTAGCTTCCGCAAAGGAAAGAAAGGTCCAGAACCCTCATACTGATAGAATTCCCATCTCATAAATCCTTGGCCTCCAAGCAGGGGCCTTTGGTGGGTCTCCCCCTGACGTACTCATTGGTGAGGCAAACAGCCAAAGGACAGAGACGTTTCCAACCAAAGAGAAGGCCTGAATGAGCCCTGGGGTGGGGCCAGTGTTCTTTTTTATAGAAGAAGAGACATGAAGAGGAGCAGGAGATGGTAGTTGTGGGGGAAGCAGTGATGGAATATAGTAGACAAGGTGTGACCCAGTGTCTGTATGAGTGGCCCAGGTCAGCAGAAGAGCTTGATGGTGTTGGCTGGGCCCAGACCCAGCTATCCATTTGCCTCAGTGAGAGGGGAGGTGGAGTGAGGAAAGGAAAACTGGAGCTGGCTGTCCTGCAGAGGGGAGGAATGTGGCAACAGTGTCTGACCCATGTGCCAGCAAAACTTGTGGTGGCTGCCATCTTGGGCATGCAGGATTCTAAGCTGTGACTGATCGGCCCCCAGAAACCATGGTTCTCCCTAGAGCAGTGCTGTCCAATGGAAATATCACATGAGCCACAACGGTCATTTAACATTTTCTAGCAGCCTCATTAAAAGAAGTAAAAAGAAACTGATGAAATTAATTTTAATAATATATTTTATTTAATCCCAAACTTCCAAAATAATATAATTTCAATAAACCAAAAACCAAACCCGTTGCCATAGAGTCTATTCCAACTCATAGCGACCCTACAGGACAGAGTAGAACTGCCCCATAGGGTTTACAGGGAGCGGCTGGTGGATTCGAACTGCTGACTTTTTGATTAGCAGCCGAGCTGTTAACCACTGTGCCACCAAGGCTCCATAATTTCAACAGGTAAATAACATAAAAGTTATTAATGAGATATTTTACATTCTTTTGTAAAAAATATGTAAAAAGACATCAGTGACATTAATGTTAATAGTATGTTTTCTTTTACCCAAAATATTGAAAATATTATCATTTCAACAATATAAAACTTTGTTGAAGTATTTTTTACTTTAAAAATATTTTATGTATTTTTTTCATATGTGTTAATAGTATGTTTTCTTTCACCCAAAATACCGAAAATATTATCATTTCAACAACATAAAATATTGCTGAAATATTTTTTACTTTAAAAAATGTTATATATATATGTATATTTTTATACTAAATCTTTGAAACTGGTTGTCTTTTACACTTCCAGCTCATCTCAAGTCAGAAGAACCACGCTGCAAGTGCTCAGTAGCCACATGTGGCTCCTGGCTGCGGTATTAGAGGGCAAGCCTAGAGCAAGCTATTCAGGAGATAGTTTCTTTCTTTTCTTTTTAAAATATTTTATTGTATTTTTGATGAAAATATATACAGCAAAAGAGGTCCCCATTCAACAATTTCTACACATAAATTTTCAGTGACACAGGTGACATTCTTCAGTTTGTGTCAACATTTTCATCGTTTCTGTTCTAGTTGTTCCACTCGCATTAGTTTAATCTCACCGCCCCAGCCCCCACCCAAACTTCTCATCTCTGCTTTAGAGTAACTGCTGTCCATTCATCATATGGATAATTTTTAAAAGAGTGCAGTTCTCAAGGGTGAAACGCTTTACTTTTTGAGCTAACCTGCTATTTAGTTAAAAGGTGATTTCGGGGGATAGTTTCTGTTCAAGGTTTAAAGAGTATTTCAGGGCAGTAGTCGCAGGGATTCCTGCAGTCTCAACGGGTCCTGTAAGTCTGGATTCTTTGAGAATTTGAAGTTATGTTCCACATTTTTTCCCTTTCTATCAGGATCCCTCTGTTGTGACCCTGATCAGAATGTTCAGTAATGTAGCCAGGCACTGCCTAGTTCTTTTGGTCTCAAAGTAGAGGAGGTCATGGTTCATGGATACAGTTAGTTCCTTCTCTGATTCTTGGACTGTCTTCATCCTCTTTTGTTCCAGATGAATAGAGACCAATAGTTGTATCTTAGATGGCCGCTTTTAAGCTTTTAAGACCCCAGACACTACTCACCAAACTAGAATGTAGAACACGAACTTTTTGAACTATGTTATGCCAGTTGACTGAATTGACCGATGAGGCTATAACCCTAAGTCTTCAAATGAAGAAATCTAATCTTGTGAGGTGACTGGTTATGTCTAAGAAGTATCTGCATCTTAGCTCCTATTTGATCTATCATCTTTCTATCTGTCTTTTGGTTGTTGTGAAATTATATACAGCATAGCCTTTACCAATTTATCCTTTTTCTTTTAGAACTTAGTGGCATCAATTATACTTTGTCAGGCTGTGCAAATTTCACCCACACTTGGTGCTACCTTTCCCATCACCATAAACTAAAAGTCACTACCACCTGGAGAAGGATTTCCCCTCTCCACCCCCACCCCCGGTAACCACCAGTGAACACTGGTCTCTGTATATATACCTATTCTTGTCATTTCATAAAAGTGGGATTATACAATATTTGTCACTTTGTGATTGACTTATTTTGCTCAGAATAATGTCCTCCAGGTTAATCCACATTGCAAGATGATTTGAGAGCTCATTTTTCTTTGCGGCTGTATAGTATTCCATTGTATGTATGTACCACATTTAAGAGACAGCTCTTTAACCCTCTAAGACTCCTCAGAATCTTTCAAGACTTAGCCCTCCACATTCACACCTGTTCCCATTTGCTGTCTGGTCCAAACAGCCAGGGTCTTGGACATTGCCATGTTTGGGATAGAAACCATCTGGGCTGAGCTAGAGTTGGGTTTTTCCACATGTGCCTATTTCTATTCTTCTCCCCTCTTCTTGGCCAACCATGGGGTCCTCAGTGGGGAGAATGAATAAGTCAGAGTTTCATAAATGCACATGCTGGGGAGAGAAGAAAGAAGTTGGAGAAATGTGGGGAATTTATCTTTCAGGAAGCAAAAGACTTGCCTGGCTTCAGTCCCACCCACTCATCTGCCTCAGGAGATGGGCCAGCTTGGTTGGGAGCTGGGGAAGGAGGAATTAGGGAACTGGGGGTGATTGAGGGGGAAAATCCAAAGGGTGAGTCCTACAGGAACCCTCCCATTATCTCTGTCCTCTGGTTTTCTTCACCTTCTCTTGTTGGTCCACCCATGGGGCAAACAGATCCACACTTGTGGGCTGGAGATGCTTCATGGTTACTCCATGAATAGCAGTATCTGAGGCTCGGTTCATTCTTCGATAAATTAATTACGGTCAACCTTCCATTTGTTTGACAAAGGTTAATAAGTGCTTAATAAGTGTCTATGAGCAAGACACCATGTTGTTGTTATTGTTAGTTGCTGTCAAGTTGACTCTGGCTCATGGTGACCGCATGTACAAAAGAACCAAAGGTTGCCCAGTCCTGTGCCATCTTCACAATCGTGGGTATGTTTGAGTCCCTTGCTGCAGCCATTGTAGTGCCTTCCAACCTAAGAGACTCATCTTCCAGCACTATATCAGACAATATCCTGTTGTAATCCATAGCGTTTTCATTGGCTAATTTTTGGAAGTAGATTGCCAGGCCTTTCTTTCTAGTCTGTATTAGTCTGGAAGCTCCACTGAAACCTGCCCACCATGGGTGACCCTGCTAGTATTTGAAATACCAGTGGCATAGCTTTCAGCATCACAGCAATATGCAAGCCACCGCAGTACAACAAACTGACAGATGGGTGGTGGGATACTGTGCTAGGTACTGGGGAATAGGACATGGGGAAATCGAAACTGTGTGTGCGTGTGTGTGTGTAAAGAGAGAGGGAGGGGAAGTCAGAGACACACAGACCCAGACCTTACCCTATACCTGGCTGGGTATGTTTGTCCACGCTTGTCTCCTGTGCTGTATTTGTCCCTTGGGCATCTAAGAACTGAGTGAGGGTGGAGGACTGGGTGGGCTGCACAGCTGGGCCCCTGTGACGTCCTGCTATTCCCATGATCACATATATACACATCTGCACATGCACAGCTAGTTGTGTGTATCGCTTGCATTTGTGAGATTGTATTTGTTCGTTTGTTTCCTGTAGATCTCAGTGTCTCCTGGGAAAAGGAGTAGGGACCAGGGAGCTGCTGTGAGGGTCTTGGGCGTCTGTGAGCCACGTCCAGTCTGCTGAGGCCATTGAGGGTGGGGCAGGCTGCGTCAGGCTCTGGCTGAAGTCTGCAGCTACGTGTCCTCGGGCTGCAGCCTTTGCAGGCTCTTCATGTCCCTGATAGGTGACACAGAGCTAACTTTTTTACTTCTCCTCAGAGATGTGTTAAGAGATGTGGCAGTCGCCACTGAGAAATCTCGTGACTGGGTATAACAACCACTCTTCAGATCGGCTCAGAGTCTGGCCACTTCCTTGGCTGATGGGAAAAAGCCTGAGAGCCCTTTTTTGACCTTGTATGTTATATGACACTCCTAACCCAGACAGATGGCTTGGGAGGAAGATGGGGTTTGCTCAGGGAGTTGGTGCTCTAGCCCAAAGATTGTGGGGACAGGGCTTCTTCCAGGTTTGGGGGCACAGGGAACCCCACGCTGAGCAGTTCTCTCTTTCTGAGGTTTTCAAGGGACACCCTTGGCTGGAGAGCCACAGACCTTGGGCTGAGGGCTGGCCTGAGGTCTCAGGATTGGCATCAGTCCAATCTGTGGTCTCCCACTCCTTGTCTTGTCCTTTATGGCATGTGTCATCTTGAGACTCCATTGTCTTTTTGTTCTTCTCTAAGTCCATCTAAATCCATTGTTAAAACTACTATGGTGGGGTGGGGGTGGGGTCAAGGAAAGGGAGAAGAAGAAAGACAAAGTCAGAGATAGCCAATGACACCTGCATGTATATATGGTAAACTGTGGTAATGTAAAGGGACCATGAGAAGAAACCAAGGGCCTAGACACAGAAATTATTTTCTCAGTGTTGAGGCAGGGCACCATTTTCTTCCTCCCAAGCCAGTGCTCCTTGCCTTTGTCATTTAAACCACAGAAATGTGGAGACACAGAGAGGGCCAAGGGGCAGTGGAGCTAAAGCCACAACACCCTGGGGCTGGAAGCTGGTTCCTCTGTCCACCTCTTGCCAACACACACCTGCCCTCCTGCCCCCATCCCTCTCCCCGCATACCCATTACACTCAGTCCTTCCCTGTGTCTCCCCTCTTCTTTCGGTACAGTGCGCTCCCCTCCGGGTCTGGCCAAGACGCCTCTGTCTGCTCTGGGCCTGAAACCCCACAACCCAGCGGACATTCTGTTGCACCCCACAGGCGGTGAGTGACTCTGGCAAGGCTAGGGGGGTGGCACCCTGCGGTCCTGGGCGGGGCCCTCAGGATGGAATCAGAAAACTCCCAGAGGGGGAGAATTCTTAGGATGCTCCCTGGAAACAAGATGGCAGGCTGTTGTTGTGCCCCTGGTTCGGTCAGGCCTGGGTGGGGGCTCTCTGTGCAGGGCTCAAGGCTTGTAGATCCCTTTGCAGGTTTTCTGCTGTTGACTTGGGGGGGTTGGCCACACTTCCAGCTTCCTCTGATTTGGGGATTTGAAGGCCTGGTCTGTTTCCTTGGCATCATCAGATCTCTGCCAGAAGGCTGACTTCCCCAGCCCCCAGTATTCAGGCATACGTGTACACATATGTATACATGTATATGCACATACACTCACACACACATACATACATATGCACACATGCACACAAACACCCACAAATATACATGCATGCACTCACACAATGCATACATGTATACATATATACACACATGCATACTTGCATGCATGCACACACACACACATGCATGCTGCCTACATGCACGCACACACACATGCAGCCAAAGACATATGACCCTGTTGCTCTGAGCCAGGGTCCCCACTTCCAGCCCAGCTGGCTCTGCTCTGAGGATCCTTGAGATGCCAGAGGCCCAACAGCTGTCATTCAAGGTGCTCACCCATTCTCTTCCTCTGGCCTGCAAAATCTTGCCTGAGAAACCTGCCACTCAGCAGCAGCCACCTACCTCTACTGGCTGTCTCCCCAGCTCTCTACCTCTCAGCCCTGGGTCTCTGCCACGACTGGGCTCCTGATCCTCCCCCAGCCTTGGCCTCTCTTCCGCATTCCTGATGCTGGACCGTGGTGTGCCCTGCACCTGAGGAAGCGCACCTGGGAGCTTGGGGGCTGAGGCAAGAAAGAGACCGCCTGTCTGGGTCACTCCCCAGCTCTGCCTTGAGTCAGACACCCTGCCCTGGTTACAGAGTGGAAGGCAGAACCAAGGGCCTTGTTGGGGAGAAGGGCCTCACCTGCCCCAGGCTCATACCTCCAACTTCCTCAGTCTATCTCCTTCCATGGGAAAGGAGATAGTGGTGGCCTTAGCAACCACTTTGAGCAGGCTGAGCCCAGGGAGTTGCTCCCTAGACTCCGGTTTTAGGGCTAGACTGGGGCCCTTGGGGCCAATCTTACCTTTTTTCCTTAGTCACCAGGAGACTGATCCAGCCAGGTAGGAGGGGAACGGCATTTGTGAACCACCAAAGACATGACTTGGGCACGGTCTCCCACTCAGGCGATGTCTGCATGGCCAGGGAAACTGAGTCACAGGGTTTTGAAGGGGGCTGGGAGCCTGCCTCTCACCAGGCCAGCACATGCCTGCTTGAGACTTGGCCCATGCGAGCCCTGGGTGCAGGGGTGTGAGAGGGCAGGACTTGCTGGGTCCCAGAGTGAGCACCTCCTTACCTTGTGCCTCGCTTGCCCCCCTAGTCTCGGCCCTGGAGCTGGGGAGCCCTGTTCAAGGTGACACTTCCTCCCTCACCTGGGCTTCTTCTGGGGGGAGTCCAGCTCTGCTCTTGCCTCACCTGGCTTGCCCACCTCCCTTTTCTCAGCAAAGTCTCTTTTTTCAAGAAATAATCTCTGTTAACCACTCTCTCTTTCCCGTTTTGGCTCTTCCTCTCACCTCTTTCACCTGCTTCTCTTGCCTGCCTCTCCTCCCTCCCACCCTCTTCCCATCTTCCCCCAGAGGAAGATGAGGGGAAGGTGGTGTCCAAGCTATCTGAAGGTAAGTGTGTGGCGGCTTCCCGCCCTCTGGGCCTGGGGACGGCTTTTCACACTGAGCTTGTTTTGGCTGGCTCCAGGGCAGCTCTCTTTTCTGACCGAGTTTCAAGTGACCAGGCACAGTGCCCCCCCCCCACCCCCAGGTGATGAGCTGTCAGCCCTGCACCACGTGAGTCCTGACTGGGGATACGTAGCTGCCAGGCACAGCTCAGGCACGGCGAGTGCCCAGGCATTAGTGCAGTGTCACCTTGTGGACCAAAAGTCCCTCTCCCAGAGGCATTTCTGCCAGCCTGCCGGGCATGCAGCAAGCGCCTTCAGAGGGCTAGGGAACTCATACGTAGAGGCAGAAGGGGAGGGAGTTCGTTATTCCATTTCCTGGCGTGCCCCATGTGCTTGTCCTAGAGCGGGATTCTCAACCTTGGTGCTATCGGCACTGTGGTCCGGACAGCTCTTTGTTGTGGGGGACTGTCCTGTGCCCTGTAGGATGTTCAGCAGAATCCCTGGCCTCTGCCCACTAGATGCTAGTAGTACCCTCCCAGTCATGATAATCAAAAATGTCTCTACACATAGTCACAGGTTCCCTGGGGGGAAGTTGCTCCTGGTTGAGAACCACTGTCTTGGAGCTGTATGACCTCTTGTTTGACCTCTGTTTTGACCTCTTGAAGCCCCTGCTGGGTTTCCTGTCACCCCAGAAAGTAGGAAGTTTGCCTTTCCAGGATCTTGGACACCTTTGGGAATCTCAGGAAAGCTATGGCTTCGCCCTTCAAAAATGCACCGGGACACCCATGCACATAATTTTGCAAACAGTTTCAGGGAGTTAGCATATTAGTGGGCCCCAGCTTAATCCTTGCTTTTGATGAACCCCTGCTTCATCCACTAGACAGGCAGAGAGGAGATGTAATGTAGCCGAAGACCCCTGACTCACTAGGAACAGAATTCAAACGAGGCCTCAGACAGCAGGTGAAACCAAGAGGTGCTGGCAGGGGACAGGCATTCTGGGCATTAGTGTTGCCATCTACACCGGGAGTGGTTGGACAGGGTTGGAGGTGCCCAAGTCCCTTCTAGTTCTGACATATTAGGTTTTCTGACTTCCCATCTGGTGTCTTCAGGTCTGTGGCTCCATGTGGCCTGGTTCCTTTAAAGACTCTGGTTCTCTTGGGCCCACTCCCATTTGCCTTTGCGTTTATAAGCTTGACTTTTGACCCTCAAAGTGGGCTTGGTCTATGCCCCTGTGACTCTGCCATCACCCAGATAAGATGATCAGAGCTTCCCAGAAGGCTTTGCCTACTCCAGCCAGCCAGGGTTGCAGAATAAGGCAGCCCCAGAATAAGACAGATCCCTGAATGGGGTGAACCACAACAAGCTCTTGTCTGCTGGGTATGACTCTTCCTGGCTCCTCCCAACCTCATACCCAGGGAGAGGGCTTTCCCCCAAGCTGGAGGCTGCAGCTTCCCAACAGAGCACTGAAGCTGGGATGGGAGACTAGAACAAGCTGGACTCTGAGCCAGCGTTCACGGGTTTCAGATGCCAGACCAGGCATTAGGCTCCCAGTTCTCCTCGGGATTGGCTAGCATAAATAGGCCTCATGAGACCTCAAACCCTCCAGCAGGAAGGTCCAAGGGGTGGGTTATCCCACAGGCTGAGAGGCCCTGGCTGTTGTGCTTCCCACTTTGGGATGACTCTTCAGAGGAGTGGCACGGACAGAACTGACCGAGACCTGCCAAGAGTGCTTCATGAATAACTCTCAGCCTGCAAGGCTCCAAGCCTGGTCCCTCCATCTGTCCCTGAGACATATAGTTTGGAGGCGGAAAGTTCTTAGGGATCAACTCGGCCACATGCAGCATTTTCACAGATGGGGAGCTGCCATCCGTGTTAAGGGGGGACCTGCCCAAGGTCACACTTAGGAGGCCACAGAGCTGAGACTGGAATTAGTGGTCTCCTGGTCAAGTGGCTGTTTCAAAGCCTAACTCTTGCCTCCAGGCACCGTGCCCTGGGATTCCAGTGTGGGAGGCAGGATTGCTGTCGGTGGCCTGAGAGTGGGGGGCGGGCAAGGGGCAGGGAGCAAGCTGTAGGCAGCCACTTCTAAATTTCCTGACTCATGCACTGCCTCTGGGTCAGACTAAAGCACATTCTTTGCCCACCTCTGAAGCTCTGCTTGATTTTCCTGCTTATACTTTGATGGGAAATTCAGAAAGAAATGTGAGGAAAAATGATTTGAGGCACAATTATTCAGAGGGAGGAAAAAAGACTCTGGGGGGGACATCTGCTGTGTTCAAAGCCTTGTGTTAAATGCTTCACATTCATTCATTCATTCACTCATTGATTCATTTAGTAGATATTTTGTGTGCCACCTATGTACCAGGCACTGTACCAGGCTCTGGGGATACAATAATAAGCAATACAAGTATGGTTCTTACTCTTATGGAGCATATGCATGAACAGGAACCAGAAAATAAATGATAACTCATAATTACATATTGAGATAAGTGCTCTGAGGAGAAGGAATACAGTTTTGTGAGACCTTAAATGGCAAAAAAAAACTGACCTAGCCTGAAGAAGTAAGATGTAAGGGTGAATGGATGCTAACCTGGTATAACGAATGGAAAAAGAGCATTCCATACAAAGGAAAAGGGCATGTGCAAAGGCCCTGTGGTGGGAGGGAACAGGATGTTCATGGCATGTGCAAAGGCCCTGTGGTGGGAGGAAATAGCATGTTTACCACATGTGCAAAGGCCCTGTGGTGGGAGGGAATAGCATGTTTACTGCATGTGCAAAAGCCCCGTGGTGGGAGGCAGCAAGATGTTTATGGTGTGTACAAAGGCCCTGTGGTGGGAAGGAACAGCATATTTTTTGAGGAACTGCAAAGTCACTGAGGTGGAAGCACAAAGCAAGGTGGAACTAGAGGCTGGAGCAAGGAGTGGTGTGGTATAGAATGAGGTTCCATACCCAGGGACCAGACCATATGGAGTCATTGTCACATCATCTTGTTTAATATTCCTGGAAGCCCTGAGAGTAAGGTGGTAGAAACCCCCTTTTACTGATGAGGAGATGAAGTTAAAGGAGTTTGATGCCTTGTCCAGGCTCACACAGTCAGTCACATGCATGGCTGAGAGCCTACGCCAGATCAGAGGTTGCCTTTTTCCACGTGGTCACACTGGGTACAAAGAGCACTTCAGACCTCTAAACAGTGGCTTTACTTGGTATGGGGACCAGGTGCTCTTTTCCAAGACAAAGGAGAGGGAGAAAGCCTACAGTAGTAAGGATGTGAGGACAGTATCAATAATATCTTCCAGATGTGAAGTAGGGGAAGAAATTGCTAAACTTCTTCCCCAAAGAAATGGACACAGGGAGCATTCAGGTTAGGTTCTGCTTGCCAGGTGATTAGGTGTGGACAGATTTGGCATAAAAGAAGACATTGGTCTAGAAATAGCCCCTCTGGGGATTCTTCCTGCTCTGAGGTCCTTGGTGATGAGTACTTGGGCATCTGGAATTTTAGGGCAGTGCTGTTCAATGCAGGTTTCTTGAGCACCTACTATGTATCTGGCCCTGTGCTAGACACTGAGGGTGTAAAGATGAATGAGACCACCTGGTGAGGGGAGGAGAGACGCCAGCAGACATTTCAACATAGGTAGACTTGCTTCCCCAGGTAGGAACTAAGTGTTATAGACGCTCAGAGGAGGGACATGTGGCCCAAGCTAGAAGGTTTGAAATTCCAACGTGAGCTCCTGGATCTGGGATTCTGGGGTTTCTTTACTTCCTCCTCCACCCCGACCCACATGTCTTCATTTTCCTCGGGGTGGGCGGGCCATTCTCGCCAGGCAAAGAACCTTTTCTGTGAGGCAGAGAATGCACTGCAGGGAGTAGGCGGAGAGCTAACGGTGCTCTGGGCCAAGGAGGCTTGTTGCCTGTTGGAGCTAACTAACTCTTGTGCCTCCAGCTGCTCTCAGGCGCCAACAGCCACTTGGCTCCTGGAATGTTCTACATGAAGTATGCTCCCTAGCCCCACCTTTCCCGTCCTTCACAGTCTCACACTCCCATTGCCTCTGAGCACAGCTGCTGCGGGATTGGAGGAGACGAGAGTGGGAGAGAAGGGTGGGGGGAGGCAGGAGTGGGCATACCGAGGGACATACCTAGAGGCACAGGGGCTAGTTCTAAACCTCAGCATTGGATTAACCAATAACCAGTTGCCGTCGAGTAGTCTCTGACTCATGGTGACCCCATGTGTGTCAGAGTACAACTGTGCTCCGTATGGTTTTCACTGGCTTATTTTTTGGAAGTAAACTGCCGGGCCTTTCTTCTGAGGCACCTCTGGGTGGACTCAAACCTCCAACCTTTCGGTCAGCAGCCGAGTGCATTAACTGTTTGCACCACCCAGGGACTTCAGCATTGGAATTAGCAGGAAAGAATTAGAGAGAACTTTCTCATCTCTTATCCCTAGATGCTGACAGGGCAGGTGAGTATCCTCACTACCATTTTACAGATGAGGAAACTGAGTCACAGAAAGGCTCAGCAACCTGCCCCAGGTCACCTCTCTAGGAAGTGGAACAAGGGGCTGTGGTCCTGAGTATGGGAACAATAGCCTCCATACTAGTATGTTGTCCTGGGATGAGGAGGAGAGAAAAAAGCCGAGGAACAGACACAGAAAGGAAGCATTTTCAGTATGGAAATCTGAGTCTGAAAACTTGGGAAAACAGCTATTTGGCCCAGAAGCTTGGTTTTAAACAATTCTGGAGATGAACTCAGGAAGTCAAATAACTGCACAGGGGGCTGTCCCTCTCTGGGCTCGTGAGGAGCGGAGACTGTATGGAAGGGCTTTGCTCCTCTCTGCCCCTCGATTTGGGGCTGGAGGGGCAGGAAGGGGCCCCTATGGAGCACCCAGCCGCAGATCACTGAACTGAGGAAAAAGATTTGGTGGAAGGAGAACTGGGGTGTAGAGCAAGGTAAGGGCAGGCAGAGGCGGTGGAACCAGAGTGGGACTGAGTCTCAGAAATCCACAGGCTGCCAGCCCAGGTCGAAGCCCAGGAGGCTTGGTGTGCTCCTTGGTGAGCCTGGCCACCTCTGCTCATGAGGGCTGTTTCTTGACACTGGTGGCAACAGATACCATTGCTTCTCCCTGGGTAAGTGGTCCTGTCCCTCAACTTCAGACCACAGAGTCCTTTGAGAGCTCTTCTGGCTTTCTGTGGCTTGGGGGCTGGGGGGTTGAGGAGTGGGCTGATGGACTGATACCTTGAGATATAGGATGCCATCCTATAGCCATCTCGGGTTTTCTGGAACACTTAGGGTTCCTAATATACTTACTGTTCCGTGGACCCTCTATGCAAACTGACACTCAGTTCAGGTCACCAGAAGCAGTGAGTGGGACTCAGCCTTGTCTAATGGCCAGCAGGCCAGATGAGGGTCAGCACCTGGGGTCCTAGGCTCTGTTCTGACCACCTTACCTCACTTCTACTGCTGGTAGAAGGGGTGCATGTACTTTCTCCACCTTCCAGGGTGGGGAGTAGGGCAGTGATTGCCTACTTAGTATGTGGGTCAGGGTCTTGGCAGGCAATGGATGGCTCATGCAGATGGGACATTCAAGGAGAGTTTAATGGACTGTTTAAAAGGCCTGGCAAACCAGTGAGGGATGCTGAAACACCCCCAGGTTCTCCCTAGCAGAAGTAGGGAGCCAGCCCTGCCCCAGGCCTGAAGGAACCAGGAGAGAGCAGAGCTGTGGTCTTGGGTAGAGAGATGCAGCCACTGGCACCTCCACCTTTCTCTCCTTCCTCCGTCTCATCTCCTGCCAGTCCCACCTACCCAGCAAAGGCCAAAGCCATCTGAATCCATAGGACAAGTGGTTCTGGGTGATGCATATGGGCAAGTCAGTCTCCAGGGAAACAGAGTAGAGATCAGGAGAACATCAGTGGATTGGAGACAAGCACAGACCTCCATGTAGGTTTTAACTTGAACTTTTCGGGTCAGCAAGACCTCTATGGAATGAGACAAATGAATGTGTGTCCCTCTAGGTCTTGGTTATTGTGTGCCTCTGTCTGTATGGGGCTGCAGGTCATGCATCTATTCATTTGTGTGAAGGACACATACGAGGTCTTACTATGTGTCAGATGCTATGTGAAATTCTGGAAATACAGATCAGCAAGACAGGCTCTGGGCACTCAAGAAATCCAAGTGGCAGTTGAGGAGCAGATGGACCCCAACTTGCAGTCCCTGGGGGAAGTAGAGGGGTGCTGAGCACTTTGGGAACCCAGGGGAAGCCATGGTGGGCACCTGGAAGGGTCCAGGAGTCTTCAGACAAAGTGACCCAGGGTGGCCAGGCATGGGAGGAGAGGGTGGACTCTGGTCCTGGGTCTTGTTTACCATTTCTGTGGGTGCAAAGCCTCCTCGACAGTCCCTTCTGCCAAGCGGGGTTACCTCAGAGCAAGGAGTCAGCCCCCCAAGGACTAAAGACACACATTGAAACTATCAGTCCCCCTATTTTCAGCCAGCCTTATGTGCAGTGGCTAAGAGTGCAGGCTCTGAGCCAGACCGCCTGGGTTCTTAGGCCCACCCTGCCACCTGCTAGTTTTGCGACTTGGCCAAGTTATTTACATTCTCCAAATCCTACTTTCCTCATATAATTGCTATTTTTATTGTTATGAGTAGCCTGTGAAGTTGGCTCTTTTCTGGCTGACTGACTGGGCCTTGGGCAGAGGTTTGGAGGATGGTGTGGGCAGAACAGGAGTCTGGGTAGCAGCTTGCTTTGACAGTCCCCATATAAGGCTATCGCCCCTCTCTAGGCCACCCAGAGGTGGCATCATGGGGCATGTAGGGTGGAGGGAAGAGGCTGTGGGGGAAACTTGTACATGGGCTGGGAGTCAGGAGACCTGAGTCCTACCTGTGCCTCCAGACATTTCACTCTCTAGGCCTCAGTGTCGTCATCTGTAAAATGGTCCTTTGACACTTGTCCTTCCTTCCTCTGAGGATATTCTGAACACCAACTGGGGATAATATATATACATGTCCTTTGTCAACTGCTGCATGCTGCTGAAATGCAAGAGGTCGGTGATAGAATGTTCAGTTCCTATGGGAGCCTTTCCCCTGATGCCAGTCTTGGGAGGAATGCTAAGTGTGTCAAAGACGTTGGAGCTGGCGAGTTGGCTGTGGCCAGCACTGGGCATAACTCCCAGTGCAGGTCTGTTGCTAGGCAAGCAAGCCTGTTTCTGGATTCTGGGCATGGGGAGGAGCCTGTGTGAATCCTGGTGCTATCCTGAGAAATGAGCAAGGCCAGGCCAGAGCTTTAGAGCCCACCACATGAGTGGGGCCTGGGGAGCTTAGGGGGCCCTGGAAGGCAGGGTCATTGAAGAAAAGAAGCAGCTAAAGGGGGTCCAACTATGGACTGATGTCTTAGTTCTTGGAGGGAAGGTTCTTGATGGGCACGTTCGGAAGCAGAGCCTGGGATCCATTTCTGGAAGCTTCCTAGAGTCAGGCCCTGGTGAAGATTACTGTCGGGCCTCTCCTAGCTTCTCCAAGACTCTGGGAGGAAGGGTGGCCAGGGGCAGGCAGGAGCCCCAGGAAGAGTGTCCGTTGTGTGCTTGGCTGTCGTTTTGGGGCTGTCCCTGTGCTGCCCTTCCCCCGTTGGGCAGGCTGTGTTCCTGTGGGTCTGTGCTCAGAGTCTCTGTCCCCTTTTCCCTTCCAGAGCCCCGGAGCTATGTCGAATCTGTGGCACGGACAGCCGTCGCTGGGCCCCGAGCCCAGGAGCCTGAGCCTAAGAGCTTTAGCGCCCCAGCTGCCCAAGCCTATGGCCATGAGACACCCCTGAGGAACGGGGTGCTGGGTGGCTCCTTTGTCTCTCCCAGCCCCCTCTCCACCAGCAGCCCCATCCTCAGTGCTGACAGGTAAGCAGGAGTGTATGGTGGATGTGAGATGGGAACCCAGGCTCGGGGCAGGCTGGATGAGTCCTCTTGGGCCTGCCTAAAGTGTGGACGGCAGAAATTACATCCAGATGCTGCCCTCTGTAAACCAGCTCATCAGTGTGCATTTACAGAGCATTCCCAAAGTGCCCGATCCTGTGGGGAGCACAGGGATGGATAAGATAGAATCCCCAGGGTTCAATTCAATTCCATCCATCCAGAAATGTGCTGGAATGAGTAGGGGGTACAGAGGTGAACAAGAGGTGGTACTTCCCCCAAGTTTACACTCTAACAACAGTCATTACTGGTATGTAGCCATGCTTCCTGTGTGCCAGGCACTGTGCTAAGTGCTTTGCACAGTTACATTATTTAATCCTCACAGCAGTCCTATGAGATAAGTACTATTATTTTTCCCATTTCTTCAGAAGAGGAAACTGAGGCACAGAGAGATGAAGTAGCTTGCTTAAGGTCATGCAGATAAGTGGTAGCAGAAATGGGATTCAGACTAAAGGTGTCTGGTCCAGAGCCCAGGTCTCTAACAACCCCTGCGTCCAGTGCCCATCATCCCTGAATGAGAGCCAGGCATGCCCCAAAGCAGGAAAGTGCTCAATGCTCAGAGCAAGGAGTCCTTATTTCTGGCCAGGGATGCATAGAGCATTTCTAGGGCTGGAAGTTATTGTGGTGAGTCTGGCAGGATAAGCAGGATGTTGAGAGGTGAAGAAGGAGCGAGAGGCACTCTAGAAGGCCAGCACAGGAAGGACACAGGACGTGCAGGGTGTGGGGGCTGAGGGCTGCAGCGTGTGGGGGAGGGTATGCAGAGGGTGACTTGGTGGAGGGGTGGCTTACATTTTGAGTGGGTCAGAGGAAAGCGTCAAATTGGGCAGGGGAGGGTGGACAGTTTCTGCTGATGGGCTCAGAAGAGGGAGGGCCCCATGTTTGGGGTGCAGTGAGAAGCTGCTTGGCTGGAGCAGTGGGGTGGGGGTGGTGGGTAGCTAAGGCTTTAGGACAGGGAGAGAGGAAGATAACATAGGAAACGGAGGGAGATCAACTCAGGCAGGGTGTACGGTACCCGGTGTGGGAGGAGGACAAGATTAGTCTGTCCTGGCTGGAACTCATTCCCCCAGGAGGGAGACTCTCCTCCTGCCCTCCCTTCTCGTGCCCACACGCCTCCCTAGCCTAGGCTCCATGGGGTGGGGGAAGCCTGGGAAACTCTGAAGCCACCTCCTTCTTCACATTCCCCCAGGCCAGGCCCAGTGGCCCCAGTTGGCTGCAGACCCTAAATTGGTCCAGGGTATTGATCCCTCTCCCAGGTGGGAGGGGCCTGGTGACAGGATGCCCAAAGGTGGTTTTCTCCGGGCTTCTAAGAATTCTGAAACCTTAAGCCAAGTATGCATCCCCCAGTTCACCTTGCTCCCTCCGCAGCATCTTGCTGGGGCAGACAGCTCCCCTTCTCAGCAGGTCCAACTCTGGGCAGAGGGAAGGGGATTTTCCTAACTTGCCCCAGCTCCCCATTGCTGATGTTGTTACCCCTGGTGTTAGGAAGTTCTTCACTTTTCTCACCCAAATTCCTCCTGCAGTTGTCTTGGCCCTTTTCAGGACTCAGGAAGCTAGTGTTTATTCTCTGGGACTAATTTTCCAGAACTCCATTTCAGTGCCCCCACCCTGCCCTGCTCAACCTGGTGCATCCCGCTCTATCTTCCATTCCTCAGAATCCAGTGTACTCCACACCAGGAAGTGGTGTTTCCCTCCGGACTCTTCTCTGGGTGCGAGGTTGATTTTGTTCTAGCCCTCATCTTCTCCCTGCCCTGGGCTGTCATCTGGCCCAAGAGCACCCAGTCCCTCAAACTTCACATCACCCAAGGGACCTGAGCCTACCCAGCTGGCCCTGAGGGCCTCCTTCCTGTCTGCAGCTCCAGGCTATGGCCCATTGTCTTGCATAAGCCTCCTCTCCACAGGGCTTCTGGGGTCTAGCCTGCCTGCTGTCTCCCTGCAGCTGCTGCTTCCCAAGGCCCATGTCAACAATTGTCCCTCTCTTGCCATGTCATAAATGGATAGAGGTTTGGTCCTGGAAGGATTTAGGATCATCTAATCCAGCTCCCTTATTGTCCACATGGGAAAACTTTAACAAGTAGAATCCATGTGTCCCAACTCCCAGGCTGTTGCATTGTACTGCAGTTCTCCATGGGAACCTGTCCTTGTTTTCAGAGGAGAACCTTTGATTGTGGCTATTCTTCCAGATACGGTCCCCTCTGAACTGAATTTTATCAGCATCTTAGAATTGGGAGCAACCTCCAAGCTCATTTGATCTAACCTCTCAATAGAGGAAATTGCCTCCACAACAGTCAGGTCAAGAGGTCTGTTAGCCTCTGCTTAAATACTTCTAGGGATGGGAGCCTCATGACCATGCCATGTAACTTGCTCCATTAGTGACCAAATCCAGTGGCTAGAAAGTAGACCTTATAATGAGCTGAAATATCTCTATTTGAAACACCCTCCACTCCCCCCGCCACCACCAGCATGATTCCTTGATTTTGCTTTTTGGAGCCCCTATTCTAGCATTCTCCATGTCTAAGGATGGTGATATTACAACTGGGGAAACTGAGTCAAGGCAGGGCTACTCCCATTAGGAACAGCAGCCAGGTGGTTTGACTCCCTTTCTTGTGTTCAGTTTCTGTGATGCTGAGAGACCTCTTCACTTTGACTTATGGTTCAGGAGTCCACATGGTACAGTGGAGAGAACTTGGGCTTTGGAATTAGACACAATGGAGTTGAAATCCCAGTTGTCTTTTATGGGCTGTATGGTCCTGAGCTTACTGCTTAACTTCTCTGAGCCTCGATTTATTCTTCTGTCAAATGAGGATGATAATGTCTACCTTGTAGGCTTACTCTGATGGCTCAATAACGACAACCAAAAAAGACACCTATTGCCATTGAGTTGATTCTGACTCATAGCAACCCTATAGGACAGAGTAGACCTGCCCCATAGGGTTTCCAAGGATGTAATCTTTATGGAAGCAGACTGCCACATCTTTCTCCCTTGGAGCAGCTGGTGGGTTCGAACCACCAACCTATTTGTTTGCAACCGAGTGCTTTAACCACCAGGGCTCCCATGGTTCCATAAGGTATCATGTAAAGGCCCTGCCATTCCTGCACACGGCGAGTAGAGCTATTATCACAGGTGTTAGTGGTTGGAGGGAGGGGCTTAGTGTTCCGGGAAGGTCTACCCTATTGCTTCATTAGATGCCATCTGCTCATATCTCAATCTGCCCTCTCTCTCCAGCACTTCAGTAGGGAGTTTCCCATCAGGGGAGAGCAGTGACCAGGGCCCTCGAACACCCACCCAGCCATTGTTGGATTCTGGCTTCCGCTCCAGCAGCCTGGGGCAGCCCAGCCCTTCAGCCCAGAGAAGCTACCAGAGCTCTTCTCCTCTCCCAACTGTGGGCAGCAGCTACAGCAGCCCGGACTACTCTCTCCAGCAGTTCAACTCGTCTCCAGAAAGCCAGGCCCGGCCTCAGTTCAGTGTGGCTGGCGTCCACACGGTACCCGGGAGCCCACAGGCACGCCACAGGACAGTGGGCACCAACACTCCCCCTAGTCCTGGCTTTGGCCGGCGGGCCACCAACCCTAGTATGGCTGCCCCTGGCAGTCCCAGTTTGAGCCACCGCCAGGTGATGGGTCCCCATGGGAATGCAGGAACTGGTTTCCATGGTAATGTGGTCTCCAGCCCCCAGAGCAGTGCAGCGACCACTCCAGGGAGCCCCAGCCTGGGCCGGCACGCAGCAGGGGCCCCGCAGGCGTCAGGCTTCCACGGCAATGTGGCAACCACTCCCGGGAGCCCTAGCTTGGGCCGGCATCCTGGAGCCCACCAAGGCAACCTGGCCTCCAGTCTCCATGGCAATGCAGTAGCCAGCCCCGGAAGTCCTAGCCTGGGTCGTCACTTGGGAGGGTCTGGATCTGTAGTTCCTGGCAGCCCTAGCTTGGACCGGCATGTGGCCTATGGTGGCTACTCCACCCCCGAGGACCGGAGACCCACGTTGTCCCGGCAGAGCAGTGCCTCCGGCTACCAGGCTCCCTCCACACCCTCCTTCCCTGTCTCCCCTGCCTACTACCCTGGCCTGAGCAGCCCTGCCACCTCCCCCTCACCGGATTCAGCAGCCTTCCGGCAAGGGAGCCCAACACCAGCCTTGCCGGAGAAGCGGAGGATGTCAGTGGGGGACCGAGCAGGCAGCCTCCCCAACTACGCCACCATCAACGGGAAGGTGTCTTCCTCGCCTGTCGCCAGTGGCATGTCCAGTCCCAGTGGGGGCAGCACCGTCTCCTTCTCCCACACTCTGCCTGACTTCTCCAAGTACTCCATGCCAGGTGGGCCCCTCCTCTTCCATCCCCACCCTCCTGCTGATGAATTAAGTTTGAGAGTCAGGATGTCTGCTCTGGTCTCTGTTCTGGCATCCCCTTGGTGGTCACCTTGGGTGAAGCACTGACCTCTGGGCTTCAGTTTCCTTATCTGTGGTTTCAGGTATCCTCAAGGTAAATGTGCTATGGGGGAGGCAGTGATGAGGGTGAAGATGCAGATGATGATGATGAATATAATAATGATAGTATTACTGTTATTATCATCATGATCATAATCACTACCATTTGTTGGCATATACTATGTTCTGGGCTCTTAGCTAAATACTATCTCATTTCATCCTTATGGCCATCTGATAAAGTAGGCTTTATTGCCAGTTTTACACGTGAGCAAAGTGAGGCTTAGAGAGGCTCAGGTATTTGTCAAGGGTCACACAGCTAATAAACAGCAAGGCCAAGATTCCAATCCAGGCCCATGTAAGACTAGTGCTCTTAAGACATTATTGGAGCTGTCTTGATCATTTTTCCGGAGGATTGTTGTGATTTGGTTATCACCATGAATATATACCTTCCAAATTGGACTTCAGTAACTGTCAGTCTGTAGCATTTTGTTCCCAAGTTTGGATCCCCACTGTGCTCACATCCCTCATAATAGATCAGGCAGCCTGATGTGGTATGGGCCAAGGCCACAAATTAGACATTTTCACTGGAGTCTAGTTTCTGCCCACCTGGCTTTACTGAAGCCCATGCAGCCTTGCCCAGTGAATGCTTCACTCATCACCAGAACTTGCATCTTTGTCTCCACTAAGAGATCTCATTATCTAACACAGAGGTCAAGACGTCAGCAGATCTGCAGCTTCTTGGCCAGACCTGGAACCTGACTATATGCGTAGCAGCCCTGGGCCCTGGGGCATTCAAGACAATTTAGAATGTTTCAGGGAGCCTGGGATGGGCCCCAGATGCCCAGATTCTTGGTGTGTCACTTCCAGGTCCTGCCCTAAGCCTGCCAAGCCGGGACACCTATGATGACCCTGCATACCCCTGTTTCCTGTCTCCCACCAGGGACATCTGGTTCCCAGTTCCTCTCCTTAGAGGATGCAGAACTTTTAGTCATTGGAGCACTTCCTGTTTCCCACCATCTTCCCTGCTTAAAATAGCCACTGGGATCAACACAGGAAGGCACATGGGACTGTAGCCACCTCTGACAGCTCATTAAACAGCCCAGAGCAGCAGCGGGGCCTGGGGGCTTGGGAGCAGAGAGAGAATCAGCTTGCAGCAATTGCAGGGCCCAGGGCCCAGCTGCCTAGCCCAGAGGCTGTCTGCAGTGCACAGCTACCAAGAAAGGGAGGTGCCCTACCCCTCACTGTCCTCGTCCTCCAGAGACACAGATCCCAGAACTCTAAACCCCAAATACCAAACCCACTGCCATCAAGTGAGTTCCGACTTATAGCAACCCTAGAGGACAGAGTAGAACTGCTCCATAGGGTTCCCGCAGCTGTAATCTTTATGGAAGCAGACTGTCACATCTTTCTCCCACGGAGCAGCTGGTGGGTTCAAAACTGCCAACCTTTCGGTTAGCAGCAGAGTGCTTAACCATTGCACCACCAGGATTCCTTCCCAGAAATCTGTCGAGGCATAAATCCCAAGTTGAAATTGACAGACTACTGGAGACACAACCTGTGTCTCCAGATTTGTTCCTATAACTCTACAGCATCTTTAGCACTCGCTCCCTCTGCTCCATCTCTCTGAAGAAAGGAGAGGGAAAATGTAGACTTGCAATATTCCTTTTCCTCTTCTTCTTCCTCTTCCTCTTATCCCCCTTTTTGTTTTGTTTGGTGCCAAAAGATGAAGGAAGAAGTTGGAGGGTGAGGGCCACACACCCTAGTACCCAGACAGGAAGATTTGGTAGAACTAGCCCTGAACTGGCTGCTGGGTTCTTCTTATCTGGGAAGGTCTTATTAGAGCCTTTCTATTAACCATCTGTGTAACTTGGGAGAGTCATTTCCCCTCTCTGATCCTTGCTTCCCTCATTCATAAAATTAGGTGATTGGACTAGATGCTCTCCAAGCTTCCTTCTAGAACCTAATGTTCTATGAAAGCATTGTGATCTGCAAAGGTTCTGGGGATGTGGGTCTACTACAGAAGTGGGGCACCTGGCACACAGTAGATGGCCTCTAAATTCTAGCTCAAGCTTTCAATTCCTTGTCCCGGGGGGAGTGATTTTTTTTTTGCTCTATGTGATACAGAACATGGGCTATCCAGGTGGGTGATGAGGAGGAGCTTTGGGGAGAAGTTGTCAGAAATGTGTCTTTGGAAGTATGGATGATGCTTCTTTCTGCATCCTCAAGGTTGTTATCATAGTGTTGGGAAGTTGAGCTTATGAAGAAAGGGGCTAGGAGGTAGGGTGTGTTAGCCTATGGGAGAGAAGCTGGAGGGAGTCAGAATCTTGTAGGGAAAGGGGAAGATGAGGTGGAGGGAAGGTTTTCAGTTGGCTCAGCAAGAATGCTGTGCCAGGCCTTTCAACATGATAACAGCTCAGTGAACCAAGATGGTGGAGGCCCCTCCTGCCTGGAGACAGGAAATGGATGAGAAGGTGCTCCAGGTACCTTCCTGCTATGCTCTGAGGGTGTTTGAGGAGACTCACTTTCCCTTCTTCTTTTTCTTGTTTAGACAACAGCCCCGAGACGCGGGCTAAGGTGAAGTTTGTACAGGACACTTCCAAGTATTGGTACAAGCCTGAGATCTCACGAGAGCAGGGTGAGTGCTGGGCTGTACTGGGTCCAGTAGGCCATCAGCAGACTGATGTTGACTGCTGCCTAGGCCCGTGTTTTCCTGGGCAAGGAGCACAAGCCAGAAAAAACCCTCATTCCTGCTTGTAGTCGGTGGTGGTCACAGAGAGGAGGCTGGGTAAAGTCAGACAGTGAGCAGCACCTTCCCACGGTGGAGTATGGGATAGGAGAGTCAGTGATTGTAGACAGTCCTTTGAGGGGTCTTTAAAAGCAGCAAAGCCTTGGCTTTTTTGGGCAAAGGAGAAGGTTGGAGATGTTAACTCTTTGTCTTCATAAAGTGGGAGATTTTTGCATTTTACAAGTAAAACAAAGTCGGGATGTGGAGATGGAGATGAAGCCCGCATCAGGCTCCAAAGAAAGTCTGTGTGAGTGTAGGACAGGGGTTAGCAACTATGGCACACGGGTCAAAAATTCGGAGTCTCCCTGTTTTTGTAAATACAGTTTTATTCGAGCACAACCACGCCTATTCATTTAAGCATTGTTGATGGCTGCTTTCATGCTACAGTGGCAGATTTGAGTAGTTGCAGCAGAGGCTGCATAACCCTCAATTCCTAAAATATTTACTATCTGGCCCTTTACAGAAAAAGGAGGATTCTTAGCAGTTGCCATTGAGCTGAATCTGACTCATAGTGACCCCATGTGTGTCAGAGTAGAACTGTGCTCCATAGGATTTTCAATGGCTGATTTTTTGGAAGTAGATCTCCAGGCCTTTCTTCCAAGGTGCTTCTGGGTAGACTAGAACCTCCAACCTTTTGGTTAGCAGTCAAGCCAGTTAACTGTTTGCACCACCCAGAAACTCCAGGAGGACCCTTAGGAGTGTTTAAATTCTAATGTTAAAGAAGTCATTTCACCTAAGAATGAATAAGAATAATAGGCCCAATGGGACTTAAGTAAAACCAGTGTCATCAACTTCTTGCTCCTCTCTCTCTTCATCCCATCTCAATCCAGCCATTGCACTCCTTAAGGACCAGGAGCCAGGGGCCTTTATCATCCGTGACAGCCACTCCTTCCGAGGAGCCTATGGGCTGGCCATGAAGGTGTCTTCTCCCCCTCCAACCATCATGCAGCAGAGTAAAAAAGGTAATATCATCTCTAAGAATGGGGACCTCAGGACTAGGTGATCTGTACAGTCTCTTCAAACCAAATATGCTGAAAGGACCCAGGGGGCTGGGCAGGTCTCTAATTCTCATCAGAGCTGGTCCTTGCTACATCAGACTCCTCAGAAGAGCAAGTCGTGTGCTTGGTGATGGTTGGGGTCAGAGAATGGGGAAGCAGGATTATTGGGACTCAGGTTATGTTTCCATGAGGGGTGAGATAGGAGTTGGGGTCTCTTCATTCTAGAGGGTTCTCACCATATTTTTTCCAGGACCCTTTCTCCTGTCTTAGCCCTGCACTTTGGGGAAGTTATGAAGCATTCTTGAGAGGTGGTGGGAGGACGCCTTGAGAAGTGATTAATTCTTATTTCTTTCTCTTCATCCCAGGAGACATGACCCATGAGCTGGTGAGGCATTTCCTGATAGAGACCGGTCCCAGAGGAGTCAAGCTCAAGGGATGCCCTAATGAGCCAAACTTCGGTGAGCTGTCCCCCTGCTTCTGTCTCCAGAGTCTGGCCCCAAAGGCTCAGGCCTGTCCTGGGTTCCTCCAGGACTCTGACCTCAAGTTTCTCCTACTGCAGGCTCTGCCCAGTCCCCCTTGTCTTATAATCAACTGTGAATAGAAAATGAATAGTGGCTTCCTTTCCTCTGTATTGTGGCTCCTTACCTCTGTGAAATTCCTTTCTGTATTTGTCCCACTCTGCTGAGACTTACTATCTTTATAACTTGGATAATGTTATAGTTGAATAACAACTATAACAACAGCTGCCTTTTTTCACCACCTACTATGTGAAAGTCAGTGTCTAGGTGCCTTATATTATTTCTGATCTTCATAACAACCTTGTATGTTGGGTGTCACTGACCTCATTTTATAAATGAGGAAACTAAGGTTCATGGAAGTTAGACTTATCTAGAAACATATAGAGAATAACTGACCTAGGATTTTAACCTACAGTTCTTTGGCTTCAGAGCCCCTAATACTTCTATTGCACTGTCCTGAGAGGGACCACAATAGCTGGAGGGATTTAGGTTAGAGAGATGTTAGCAGGAACTTCCTATAAAGGAAAGTGTTTAGGTATCTTTATGACTGCTGGCGTGAACCACTGGAATCTTCTCCCTTGGACCTTGCTTTAAAAAAAAAAAAAGGGGGGGTGGATTTTCAGCTTTGCTGGTGGAGGACGGTGAGGTAATAAAGAAGCTGAAGATTACATACAGTGGGGGGTGGTTTCCATGCTGCCTTTGGTCCACTTCTAGTAACACTGTCCTGGTGGGCTGTTTCTGTCACTCTGCAGGTTCTCTATCTGCCCTGGTCTACCAGCACTCCATCATCCCATTGGCTCTGCCCTGTAAGCTGGTCATTCCAAACCGAGGTAGGAATGTGAGACTCCTTGCTCATCATGTGGCCCTTGAGCTGGCCTCCTTCCATGTCTCAGCCCTGCCAGGCACTCTGGAACATGGGCCAGAGTTGGAGGGCCATTTTGCCAATCTGGGGAAACTCAAAACCGTACTCCTTCTTTTTCCTAATAAAGAAGAAGGAAAAGTTAATTAAGAAAATCAACTCCAGTAACATACGTAATTGACTTGCCAGATTGTTCTGGAAAATTGTCTGGAGGCTTCAAGAAGTTCATACTGAATCCTCAGAATAAGCCTCATCCCATAGGGCGTTAGAAGAGGAGACAGTCATGCGAGACCATGTGTGGAGGATGAGATGGGCAGCAGTGGGTAGGTAGAGGGAAGGGGGAGTGGAAGGCAGATTTAGGTTATGGGACATCCAGGTGTTCAAGGGTTGGCTTGAATGAAGAGGAAAGAGTGCACTCAAGGGATCTTTTAGAACAATAGGTGGCTGGGCTCTGCATGGCATGTGAAGGGAAGGATGGGGCCAAGATGTCCTTGCAGTTGCTAGTGTGTGTGGCTGACTGAGGGGAGATTGAATTGTGGGGAAGAGTGAGTCCTCTTTAATTTGAATGGAACTCAAGAGCATCACCAAATACAGGACAAAAATTTGAGTGAGTCACTGGAGCTGGGAAGGACATTTTAGATTCTTTAGTAGAGGTATTCTAACTGTGGAGGATGTTGGATGGACTCCCCAAGCTCTTCACAGCACGGGCTTCTCTCACCCAGCCCCCAAGTATACTGGGCCCACATGAGGATAAGAGTGGCTGGCCCTGAACTCGAGGTCTAGGAACTGGGAACTGGAGTGCCTCCTTACCCTCATTTTCAATAATAGAACATTCAGCTACACCCCTGGGCTCTGGCCCTGGGACTCTCTTCCAGTCTCTCTTGGAGCTTCTTGCCCACACATATAACCTTTAATGTTATTTGATAGTTTCAATTTATCCAATTTAATTCACTGAATTATTAATAATAATTGACCAATGGTAATAACTTAAAAGTTCAAATACAACTTAAATAGCATCATCAACCACACAATTTAGACCCTAATTAAATTATTTTTCTACTACATTTACCATAGTAGTTCAACAATTATAAAATGGTTTGATATTTAAATTGTATAAATCAGTGGTTCTCAAAGTGTGGTCCCCAGATCAGCAGCATTGGCCTCATTTGGGAATTGTTGTGTTGTTGTTGTTGTTGTTAGGTGCCAGTTCTGACTCATAGCAATCCTATAGGACAAGTTGAACTGCCCCATAGAGTTTCCAAGGAGCGGCTGGTGGATTTGAACTGCTGACCTTTTGGTTAGCAGCCGAGCTCTTAACCACTACACCATCAGGGCTCCGAGACAATTGTTAGAATGCAAATTCTCAGGCCCCACCTAATCAGAATCTCTGGGAGTGGGGCCCAGCAATCTACTTTTTAACAAACCCTGAACACCAGAGTCTGAAAAACACTAGTATGAACAATACTTGATTCTTATTAATATGAAGTTATAGTTGTGCTGCATTCAAGGTTTAGTGAATCAGAACATTCATTGATCTCCATGATCAATGCAAAACAACAATGACAGCAACAACAACTGCCGTTTGAAGGCTTCTTTTATGCCAGGGATTGGGCTAAACACTGTACATGGAATATCTCCAAAACCCAATGAAGTGGATACTATTATTATCATCTCCATTTTATAGATACTCAGCAACTGCTGGGGTGAGGGTTTGAATCCAGTTCTGTCGGACTCCAGAGTTCTTAACCAGTGTGCTGAATACTTAGAGTTATCACTGAACATTCATGCTGAACATACACAGTGCCAATGGCTAGGCCCTGTTATGAAAAGTAGTATCTGTTGCAGAAAGTATTTGCAGAGCTGCCTGGGGTTCTTTGCATTGCTCGCCTTAGGCCCAGCCAAGCTTGTGCTTTTTTCCAGCTCTAGAGTTTTAATTACCAACTGATTTCTTGTCTCAGACCCCACAGATGAATCAAAAGATAGCTCAGGCTCTGCCAACTCAACCACCGACCTGCTGAAGCAAGGGGCAGGTGAGTGGCCACTGGGGGCTGGATCCCTGCCCAGGCCTTTCCTCCTTCCTGCCCTGTTCCTCCTGCAGGTGCAGGCTGGAAGTCTCTCCCGGACCCAAATTCCTTTGGGCAGACCACATTTCTTAGTGTGATGCCTTGGCTCAAGGCTGGACTGAAATTCATTGCTGAATGTTCTTTCCCTGAAGAGTGGGCCTGGGGCATTTTCCCCCACCCACTCCAGCCCCCATGACTACTTGTGTGGGTTTCTTCCAGCCTGCAATGTGCTGTTCGTGAACTCTGTGGACATGGAGTCACTCACTGGGCCACAGGCCATCTCCAAAGCCACGTCTGAGACACTGGCTGCTGACCCCACGCCAGCTGCCACAACTGTTCACTTCAAGGTCTCCGCCCAGGGAATCACACTGACTGACAACCAGAGAAAGTAAGAATCTTCTACCTGCTTCCGTGTTGGATTCTCCTTCCTATCATCCATGTATCCATCCATCCATCCATCCATCCATCCATCCATCCATCCATCCATCCATCCATCCACTTACCCTCCTACTTACCAATTCATTCATCTCCTGCATCCATCTACCACTCTATCCACCCATTCATCCATCTCCGATCCACCTCCATCTACTCATCCTTTCACTCATTCACCCATCTATTCATCCATCCATCTATTCATCCACTTGTCCAGCCATCCATCCCTGTATCTATCCATTCCCATCTAACCAACCCTCCTGTTTTTCCCTCCACCCATCCTTCCATCCTTCAACAAATATCCCTGTATCGGGCATACAGGTGTAAATACAACCGTTAAAAGTCCCTGCCTTCTAGGGGCTTGCACTTCACCTCCCTATTCTTTGGTAATCTATGGGTCAAAGGCTCAGCATTGTTCTTCACCTCAGGCCCTTTCCTAACAGTGTCCTCCAGTCCTTCACTTCCTCCAGCGCTCCTCCATTTCTTATTCCTCAGTGCCAGTTTCTTCCTTCTTTCCCGGTCCCTAGCATTCGGGAGGTGTTTTATGTTGAATTTATCTTTCCCTGTGCGTTGCTTATGTCCCCAATGTGAGCAGCTAAGGCTGTCTTGCTCATATACTGACAAGAAGGTTGTGGAGAATCATGGAAATAAGGGAAAGGCTTTGTCAATGCATGTCTGCTACAGACGGTGGAAAGGTGGCCTAACCTGCAGGTGGAAGGTGGGGAAAGTGCTTACTCAGGCACTGATTCTCTATCTGATGTCTGTGCCACAGGCTCTTCTTCAGACGACACTATCCCCTCAACACTGTCACCTTCTGTGCCCTGGATCCACAGGAAAGAAAGTAAGTCTCTGAAGACACCTTCCTTCCCACCCAGCTCTCTAACACTGAAGTGTGTGTGTGTGTGGGGGGGGGGATGAGGGTGTGTGTTTGGACCTCTGCCTATGTCTATGGGA